CAAAGAGACAAAAACTTTAAGCTTTAATTACATCCAGGTCCCAAGAGAGAGTATGGGGCACTTTATAAAAAATTACTTTGTTATGTGTTGTCACTAGTTTTTTGTTTTTTTTGTTTTGTTTTGTTTTTTTGAGATGGAGTTTCACTCTGTCGCCCAGGCTGGAGTGCAGTAGTGCAATCTTGGCTCACTGCAACCTCCGCCTCCTGGGTTCAAGCGATTCTTCTGCCTCAGCCTCCTGAATAGCTGGGATTACAGGCACGCACCACCACGCCCAGCTAATTTTTGTATTTTTAGTATAGACAGCTTTTTCACCATATTGGCCAGGCTGGTCTTGAACTCCTGACCTCATGATCCGCCCGCTACGGCCTCCCAAAGTGCTGGGATTACAGGCGCGAGCCATCGCACCTAGCCGTGTTTTCACTACTTTAGTATAGTGACCACAGATCTTGCAGAGAGAGGTAGAATGTAAAAAAATGCAGAGAACACCCAACCAAAACGTGTCTCTCACAAGGGGATCAAGGCTTGTAAGATACACTATGTGACACACGCAGCCCTGGCAAACAGAAGCAGTCTAGCAGCACTTAGGACTCCGCTGACCAGGAACAGGCCCAAGGAATTCTTTCTCTCCTCTTTGGGAGAAGCCCTCAGTCACCGGAGAATCCGACTCAGCAACTACCCTTCCATGCAGTACTTCCCCAACCCCGGCTGTTCATCGCTTCCCATGTTGGAGTGATACAATATGGGGGTAAGCGGCAAGTGGCGAGAAGTCACAAGCAATCTTCTTCAGCTCATGTATCAACAACTCAGAAGTCCTACTAGGGAGGAGAGAGGGGAAGCCTGTCTCATTGCTGCCTGCACCATTCAGCATCAAATCCCGATATACCCTCCCTCAAAATCTCCTTCCACTATCTACGGGCCGATGATTCTCGATTTTTGAAAAAGGGAAGGGCATATAGGGAAGAGAACAGAAGTGAAAACCCTACCCCTACCATCTCTTCTTGCTTTCCTCCCCATTCTGGTCCTCATGCCCACTTTACCCAACCACGGTCTTTACTCCACACTCTGAATGCAGGAAGCACCGTCTACAGCTCAGGGAGCCTGCCCTGCTACATGACGGAGTGGGAGAGTGCAGTCCTGGTTCTAACAGAAAGAGCTGTGATCATGCCCGAACTCTGAAAGCAATCAGTGTCAAACCATGAGTTGGGTCTATTGTACTACAAAGATTGTATTTCAGATACATTAATTATGGACTACGTGGTATCCTGGGACCTTAAAACTTCACTGTGTGACCATTTCTACGGGAAAACTGATTGTAAATGGCAAAACATAACTGTACAGGGATTTACAGAAAAATTCATGCCCTTAGAAAAGGTTTCACACACAGATACATGTCATTTCATCTGTGGGGTATGCAGCTGAAATCTTCCTCCTTGTTCACTGAAAAGGATTTTAAGCTAGAAGATAAACTCTGTGTGAACATATTATAGTAAGTCATGGACTGAGCCAGGACTTGGACCCATGTACTTCCTACTATTCCCACAATCTCCCACCTCCAGTTCCTGACTTCAAAGTTTCCTGGAATTACAGGAGCCCCAGAGGAATCAGTCTGGCTTCTCTTAAGCTTTCTTATTTCTGCTGGCACATGGAACACAGAAGAGTATTTGAAAACCAGGGCCCCTAGAAATACTAAAGTGTACTCAAAATACCTCCCATTCCCTAGGAGAAGCTAGGTAAAGGTTAATAAAGCACACTTGAATCTCTCAAATTTGTATCTGGGGGCTATTTTACCCTTTCTTTCTGGTCACTGTATAACTGCCTCTCCGTTCTATACCTCAACACAATGGTTTTCATAACTAACCAGTTACACACTTTGTTCTAACATGGTGCTTCTGTCTGCTCCTCAAAGCCAAGCTTATTGACCTCAGAATCTTCATACTTACCCACTCTTTTTGCCTAGGAAGCCTACTCATCCCCAAACCATTGTGTGATTTGCTCTCTTGCTTCTTTCAGGTATCTACTCAGGTATTACCTACTGTGAACATCCTGTCTAAAACAACTACCTACCTTCACCCTATCCCCACCGCTCTCTATCCCCCACCCAGCTTTATCTTCATAGCCTTTATTGCCTGAAATTACATTGTCTTATTTTCCTTGTTTTTGATCTCCCACAGTGGAATACAAGGTTCATGAGTCCAAACCTTGCCTATCTTGTTCACAGACCCATCTTCGGAGATGAAACAGCATTTGGCATGTAGTAGACCTAAATACCTTGACGTCTATACATTGGTGGCTATTCCGCCATCTTAATATCCCTGATTCCCATTAATCCTGCTAGAACAATATGTGGTGCTTCACACCTTTACAGTTTATAAAGCATTATTGCTCCTCACAGCAAGTTCGTTTTCATTGTATTTAGGAGAGCAAGAACACCAACTCCGGCCTGAGCTTAAACTTAATAACATTTCTCCTCCAAGGTAGTATCTATTACCTCATCAAGCATGGAGAATGCAACTCTGCAGACAACATAATCCAAAGCACTATTATGAATCATTAACTTCCAATGTTTTCTCAAAGACTTATAAAGCAAGGATATTCTTACACAACCAATACTTACTACATTATACTTATGAAATGATACTTAATCACTACCAAAATTCTGGAAGGAAACAATGTCAGGTCTCTCAATCCATACAACCACGGTCTTTCTAGTTACACTCGCTCTATCACACGGAATCCTAAAAGATGACACACCAACACCCACAACTTGAAAAACTGCATCTGTCTTCAAATGTTTAAGTTATCCATTTCACTTGTGCATCAGTTATTTCATTTTTACTATTAAATAAATAATTCCATTATCGTATGTACATTTGATAAATAAGTGCTTTTTCTTTTATTTCCTTACAAATTCTCGGATGGCCAAACGTCCCTGCCACAGTATTACCAATTCTCATTAAGCAGAACCATTCCCAAGGAACCGCACCCACAGGGCATGTTTTCCATTCCTGCACAATCTCTGAAACCCAGGGTGGGAAGGGGACAGCACTCAAAGCCCATATAAGTTAAACCACAGCCTGATACACTCCTCTTGAACATCCCAGTGACAGGGAACTCACAATCATTCAGGATAATTTTACATTTCTGATAGTTCTATTAGAATTTCTTTGTTCTGATGTGAAATACTTCATGTAAGTTCAAATCATCAGTTTTAGATTTACCTATTGCAATCAACAAATGTCACATCCCTCTTCACATCCTTAAGAAGTTTCCATGCATGCGGTCAAGATCTTTTCCTTCCTAGATAAAACCCCACTAGCTCCTTCAAAAATCCCAAAACAACATGGTTGCTTGATTCCTTCCTGCAGTCATTATTTATTATGTCATGCCTTATGGTGGGTGCTGGGGACAGAAATGACTTGAACAGGTTCTCTGTTAAAAGTCTAATGAAGGAGATAGACATGGAAACATCACTGGTCTTACAATAATATGAACAAAATGTTATGTGAGCAAAAGGGAAAACTAGTAGCTACTGCTGCTTACAGTCAGAGAAGGCCTCAAGAGGAAATAACCCCTGAGCTTAGTCTTGGAAAATAAATAGAAATTTGCCTTGAGGTGAGGGAGAAAGTTTGTGAATTCAGAAAACAGTAATGAGTTCATGAGTGCTGGATCATAGGACAGCAAAGAAAGATTAGGCTGAAGGCCGGGCGCGGTGGCTCACGCCTGTAATTCCAGCACTTTGGGAGACCGAGGTGGGAGGATTATGAGGTCAGGAGATCGAGACCATCCTGGCTAACACGGTGAAACCCCATCTCTACTAAAAATACAAAAAATTAGCCGGGCGTGG